AACTCCCAGAATTCCTGAGCCAACATAGCTGGCTCAGGAATTCTGGGAGTTGAAGTCCACAAGCCATAAAAGGCCCCTCATCCCACCCCTGCTCTATAGGAATGGGTTTGTGTGCAGACATGAATATGTAGAGGGACGAGGGAATAGCCTTGAAGGACGCAGAAAGAGTTGCTAGCAAGATAATGGCCAGATAAAAGGGACTTGTGCTTGTGCCAGGAAAGTAACATGAGTAAATGTCTCAACAAGCCCTTTTCTATTTTTTTAATAAAGATTTTATTGGTTTTTTTTTTCATAAACATATGTTAATTTTTCCAATCAACGAGTTGTGTAGAATTAGCTATGCTAATACATGTTCAATCCCTAATCCTTCATTCTTTCCTCTAGCCAACAATAAAATAAGTCCTAAGTTTGATAATAGTCTGTATCTTCTTTATCTTTCAACCTCATAGTTAATCTGTCCATCTCTGCACATTCCAATATTTTCCTGATTATTTCTTCTTCTGATGGCAATCCTTCATTCTTCCAGTATTGTGCAAAAATTATTCTCGCTGCTGTGGTGATGTGTAAGATTAAATATAATTTCTGCTTTTTAGTCTTTTCAGGCATAATACCTAGCAAAAAAAGTTCAGGTTTAAAATCAATTTGTTCACTCAATATTTTTTCCAACCACATATGTATCTTTCTCCAATAGGCCTTAGCCTTGCCACATGTCCACCAAATGTGATAGTTGCACGGATACAATACAAATGTAAAGGTTGTAGATAGACTGTATAAAAATTTGTAAAAACGATTAGAACGACCACCGTCCACGGTAGATATTTTGTAAAATATGTCTAAAAGAAATATACTTCAACTGTAACAATGTTTGTAGTTTCTCTCCCATAACATTTGCCATTTTTCTAATTCTATATTATAGCCAAAGTTTTTTTTCCCAACTTATCATTCAACAAGCCCTTTTCTAGTTCACACAAAGATAAGGGGAGGGAGAATGAAACATATTCAAACTTGCAAGACTCAATTATTATAGCTTTACAGAAAAGTAGTCCTGACCTTGTCGACATTAGCTTCCTAGTCTGGTCTACCATGAAGTGCTGATGCTAGTGTGTGGTGCATGTGAGTGTGTGTATGCACAATTCTGGTTTTGCTGATGACCTTGAGGCTGAAAAGGTATTCCATTCTTATAATTGGAATACTATTGCCTACCTCTACCATAGAATTTTACAGCCACAAAAATAATTTATTAGATGATTAGGGATCCCATATTGGAGAGACTTAAGCCAGCTTGAGGGATGTGTGTGAAGGAGATGAGAAAAGCCTTCAAAACACCAAAGGAAATGTTTGGCATGTGGGAAGGAAGGTCAATTAATGCACGCAGATGTGCATGTATATCACATGTCTATAGTTGTTAAGTCGTGATGTGGGGACAATTGCCCGGAATTCCTTCACTTGAAATTGGCTATTATAGATTGACAAATGTGGCATTGTTCAGGATTTTTAATCAAATTTATAAAGCATTCTGTCTGTTTGAGTCCTTTTGGGGAATCACATTCAATTCAGAGTTATGTCTATGGAGATTTTCAATCATCCAGGACATGGTTGTCCCAAAGGTGCTTTTCTAAAAGGCAACTGGGCTTTCTTGGGTTTTTCCTTGAAAACATTTTGCTTCTCATCCAAGAAGCTTCTTCAGTTCACTTCAGAACCTAAGAAGCTTTTTGGATGAGAAGCAAAATGTTTGTAAGGAAAAAAAATCAAGAAGGTCCAGTTGCTTTTTGGAAAAGCACCTTTGGAATTCAGAGTCATCTTCACCTTTATTTATTTATTACATTTGTTTGCCACCCAGTTCGCTGCAAGGTGACTTTATTTGGAGGAGAAAGCATTTCTGAAAAATGTTTCCCTACATCAGTACTAAAGAACAAAAGAATGTCCAGCAACAAAGCCAGATGCAGAAAGGCATGTTTTCTTTTCTGCCTTGAGTTCCACTGGCACAAAGAATAAACTCTCAACTATCACTGAGGAGACATTTTAATAAATAGGTTTCTGTTGCTGCTTCATCTTATCTGGCTCAATCTTGGGGTACAAAATCACCACACAGAGAAAAGTTGCTGAAATTTGAATTTCATTCAGAACTGAACACCACCTTCTGTTATAATAACAGTCAGCTTCAGAAATAATATTTTTTAAATTATTTTTTAATTATTATCATGTAGTACTCCAATTATTACTTTGGAATAATAGATAATAGGATATAGACAACAAACCAAAAATGAATATGCCCTCAGAGTATGTCTGTCTCCATTGAGAAATCACAGTGGATTCTTAACTGTTGGGAGTTTACAGTAGAAAATGATGCTACAGGCAGCTTATCCTTTCCAAAATCAGCCCTCCACTTGTATAAAAAAATGTAGAAAGAGAAGGAAATGTATGTGTCACCAAGTATCATTCTAGGGGAATTCTGCTTTATTAACCTCTGCAAGGAAGGGGAAGTGAGGTGGTGTCATAACAACCTTCCCCAAATGATGAGAATTATACACTTGAATCATATGTAATTTGTGTTATTTTCACAATAGTGCCCTGATGCATCATTTTGACATCATCATTGCTTAAGAAACCCTGTATAGCATATGCTTTAAAAAAATATTTCCAGCTTTGAACTATAGATCCGTAGGGGAAATTACCTTCATTTTCTCTTTTTTTCCTTTAGGGAAGATAGACAAGTTGGAAGATGTTTGGAATTTCTCATTCTATGAGCTGAAGTATATATAGATTGGTATTTTAGTCCTTTTCAGTTTCTAGTGCTGATGGATCTGATTTTCTTTTATAACTATTATAATTTTTAAGAAGGGGCTATTGATCATCCTGTCTCTCTCAGCCAAAACAATAATAATGGCTCATCATTATATGGTGCTAATTGTTAAGTGAGTCCATTCAACTTTATATAAACCAGTAAATGCCTAAGAAGTAGTCAAGAACCCTGAGCTACATTTATTCTTTTATAATGTCTTTCTCAAAAACAACTCCTGATTATCCTAAGCTTCATTCTTTTAGTAGTATAATTGAGAGGGAACAAGAAAATGCTCCAGTCTTATGTTATATCTTCCCTTTAGAATTTAGGACTTGCTTCATCCCTTCTAGTGCTGTGGAAACTATTAAAGATAGAATGCTGTACTTCCATGTATCATTTGATTAAACAGTTGGCTCCTGCCATCTCTATTTAAAATCCCTTTAACTTTAGTTAACTTTTTTTGTATCTGCTTTTGTTACAAGTTTATTTTTCTCTGCTTCTCCTTATTACCGTTATCACAACTGTTTTGTATTTTTGATGTTGGATTTGTACTTGTTTATTTCTATTTCTATTAGAAAAAAAATACAAAGAATATTCTTTAATGACATTTGATAGGATAGAATTATTCTATATCTTAATTGCTTATGGATGTTTGCTTATGAGCTATATTATAAACCTCCAGGAATCTATATTGATTCAGCAATAGAAAGAAAGAAATAAGTAAATAAATAATCAATCAACCAATCAATCAATCACAGGTAAGTGTAACTGGAAAGTGTTTTAATTTTTTATTCATTTGCTGGAGAGAACAACACAAGCTTTTTGACAACATGCAGTCCCTAATGCAATACTATAAAAAGATTATGCATCATGGCAAGATAGCCAACATCCCCAAACACTTCAGTTGTAGAAAGCAGAAGATTTGAGAATCCAACTCCATGAAGAAGAACTTTTACAATCTAATTCTAAACAGTGGTTAAAAAAATATATCTGGGAATGGATTTTTTGTTCTTTCAAAGTAGTTGTACTCATTATAGTTCATCTGCCCAGATCAGATTTCTAAGACAAAAACTACCATTTGTATGGTTGACTGCTATTATAAGCTAGGGAACTTCAACAACTATGTAGTTGTTATTATGCCCAAGAAGATGGGATGTATTTAGGAAAACCATTAGTTATGATTTTCATTTTTTTTAAAGAATATTCATGAAGGAGACAAGGAGTAACATTCTCTTTATGATCAGACATGTAGAAAACTTTATTCTACGTAACCAGGCATGTAGAAGTCTTTATTATGTATATGAAGGGAGAAGAATATTCGTATAATGTCTTTGAGAATCAAAAGGTTGAAATTTACTTCTTAGTTCTGGAACTTTTCTTTCTGTCCTTCATTATATCTATTGATCTCTGACATCTCTATTATCTATTTTTCATCATGACAGCCCTTTGTTGACAATAATTGTATGGTATGCACATTGTACTAGTTCAGGGGTCTTCAAACTTGGCCCTTTTATGACTTATGGACTTCAACTCCCAGAATTCCTCAGCCAGGCACGCTGAAGTTTGAAGACCCCTGTACTAGTTTGTAGCACTAATCTATCAGAAATATAAGTGGTTGCTGTTTTGGTTAATCCTGATTTCTGAAATTAAGTTCTCCTTGTAGCATTTTGCTTTCTACTTATGCTAGCATACTCCACTTGTTAAACAGACTCACACAATCACCACAAGAAGTCTAAGCGGGAAAGCAAAGTAATCTAAGCATCAGAAGGGAATAAATACTTCGGAATGTCAAATGTATGCTTGCATTAGCTATATAGCAATAACAATAAAATAAATTTGGGGTAAAAAGTCAAATTAGTTTAAATAACTTTTTCAAAAAATAAGGCAACCCCTCTCCTAAACCAATGCATTTGTTTTCCAGTTAATACAAATATGTGAATAAAACATTAGTATAAAATGTTAGTAAGAGTAGGTTTAAGAAAACAGCCAGTGCCAAAACTACATAGAAAAATGGCTGACTTGATAGAAGGAACGTATATGATTCTGTGACAAATGTCTTGCTTAAAGTAATAGATTCACTAAGATCAAATACAGAACGGATAACTCGTCATGGGCATTGTTCCAAAGGGTTTAGGAGAAGTTTTTGAATTTTTATTGTGCTGTCAGCCTTATAGTAGATTGATTACTGATTGTTAAAAATAAGACTGTCCCAATCTCTTTAAAAAAGTCTTACAGCTGTAGGGTAACACAGTCCTCCAGAAGTTCCTACTGGTCCAGCATAGCACACCCCTGAAGATGTTCCTGCTGGTGCAGCATAACACACCCCTGCAGGTGTTCCGGCTGGTGCAGCATAACACACCCCTGCAGAAGTTCCTAGTGGTCCAGAGTAACACACTCCTGCAGGACCTCCTGCTGCCCCACCTATTCCTACAGAGGCAGGGTTACCTTCAGCTGCACCCCCCATTGGGACTCCTGCCCGGGAGTACCACCCTCCATCCCCAAATGCAGCAACCCCTGAGGGTTCATAACCTCCACGAGGGTAGTTTCCATCTGGGCAATTCCCTACCACACTTGTAGACCCATATCCCCTTCCTCCACCGCAAACTGATCCATAGGCAGTTCTTGAGCTAAATCCTGCACCTGGGCCATGGCCAGCACCTCTACCAGCCTCTTCTGTTGAGAACTGGCGCATGCCTGCAGAGGGATGACCAGAGCAGGACTCATTCCTATAGCTATATCCTCTTCCTTGGTAGTACTCTGCATCTGCTGATCTATTCCCAGGAGCTATATTGCTCCTTCCAGTATTTTGATCAAATCCAGCACTTCTGGAGCTGTAGTTCCTGTTGCTTCTCTCCTGACCTCCCACTCCATATCCTTTACCAAATCCCATATCATATCCTCCACCATATCCTCCACCCAGAGGAGCATATCCACTTGAAAATGAGGATCCAACTGCATTTTCTATCCCAGGTTTGATCACATCTGCAAGAAAAAGTAGAAAAGTCAACTTTTGTGATCCAGCGGACGGATCCAGAGACCTATGGAAACCTATTTCCCACCTTATCTTCTCAATACTATCGCTTTAACACTTTCAAGAATGTGTAATGAAAGTGATATATGGGTCAGTTCTACCGCTTCTTCCAAAGTAAACTTAAAAATAAAAATAAAAATAGAGCTTTCTTGTAGAAAAAGTTGGCCCACTGGAGAAAATCCTCACAAAAATGGGAATAAACTGATTATAAGAAATAAGAAGACTACCATTTGATCATACTAGCTAGAAAACCAATTTCTTGGAAATTGGTAAAAATGCATCTCTCCTGTCAGGTCTTTAGCTGTTGAGTTTGTTTTAGGTTTTTGTTATTTTTTTTTTAATCAGGATTTTTATTGTGCAAAGGTTATTTGGATTTAATTTTTTTATTTTTACTGTTATTTATTTTTATTTATTTATTTATTTATTNCAGCCACTTACTCACCTGCAAGCCTGGGACTTGCAACTTCTTGCCAGCTTCCCCACTTTGACTTTGGCTGTGGGGAAGCTGGCATGAAGTCACCAAATCTAATGATCGACGGATTCAATTAACCATGGCAATCAAGAGGGCAGGGATTGCCACTGCTAAATGACACAGTTGCACTTAAATGAGGGAAATTCTGGTCTCGGCTGCTGTCGTTAAGTCAAGGACTCCCTGCACCCATGTCTTTGTTTGTATTTAACTGGTTTCTGGACTCAACGCCATTTGAATGTGATCACCGATGGAAGCCACTCACCGGGACGGGGGAGGTATTCGCCGCCCCTCGTTCATGCGCCGGTCCGACCCGTAGCTGCCCCAACCTTCTCTGGAGTGGCGGTCTGGATCCCTGTGGCGTTCCTCTGCATAGTGCTGAAAGAGGGGAAGGAGACAAGAACAATTATCCAACTGGCATATGAAGGAATGTTAGGTAGGGGTGCAGGCAAAGATTTCTGAAGCTATGCAGCAGGTTTTTCCTAGTACAGGGGTCTCCAAACTTGGCCACTTTAAGACTTGTGGACTTCTATCATTGTTTCTTTTACTTGTTCCTCTTCCATCTTCCAATTTAGCAGAAATTTATAAAGTTTTTTTAATCAAGTTTTCGTCCGTTTTTAAAAACATTTTATCAAGTGGTGTCTGATCTTTATAAAATCCCATTGATTTTACATCTTTTTCGTATCTTGTTTGAATTTGTAAATAGGACCACCATGTTAAGTCAATATCTTGTTGTTGAAGAGTTTGCCTGTCTTTACGTTTTCCGTCTTTTCCAAAATGTCTTTATAGCTAACAAGTTTATCATAATTAATTAAGTTTGGGTATGCAAATGCTTCCATTGTTGAAAGCCACTCGGGTATTTTCATATATATTTTATGTTTAATTCTCTCCCACTCTGAGAGCAGTAAGTACATTCCTTATGGCATGATTTTGAAAATATTTATGTGCTTTGCTTTTCTCATACCAAATAAACACATGCCAGCCTAGTTGGAGATCATGTCCCTCTAAGTAGAGAAGTCGTTTATTTCTCAGTGTAATCCATTCTTTGAGCCAAAGCAGAATGGTTGCTTGAGGAATTCTGGGAGTTGAAGTCCACAAGTCTTAAAGTGGCCAAGTTTGAAGACCCCTGCCCTAGTACAAGGGGAAGTCAAAGGTAGGGCAGAGACACAAAGGCTGCAGTAAGCATTTCAACGAGTTCTTGTTTTGTCTGGTGGCTCATCTGCCCGAAAAGAAACACCAGAATCTCACAAGCATTGGGATTTTTAAAGGTCTGCTTTCAAGAGCTGCAAAGCACTGCCTTCTCAAAAGTGCTCCAGAGTGTGAAGAGATTCTGGAACCAGATACTTAGGTTGGTCCAGAAAATTTTGAAAATGTCTATAAAATCGAAACCTGAAGCTTCTGTTTTAGGAATGGCAGAGAACACAGAATTATAGGGCTGGAAGAGACCTCAGAGGTAATCTAAACCAACCCCCCTGCTCAAGGCAGGAGACCTTATTATACCATCCCAAAATAACAGAGTCGGAAGGGACCTTGGAGGTCTTCCAGTCCACCCCCCCTGCTCAAGCAGAAAATGCGATTATTATTTCAGACAAATGGCTGTCCAATCTCTTCTTAAAAACCTCCAGTCTAGTCCTTCCCAAAAAATGGCAATTAAACGGTCTCCTTTATTTCAAATGACATATATAATAATAGAGGGAGATCTATTTGGTGATCTAAAAGCACTGATATGGAAGCCTAGTTGGCAAAGGAAGAAAGCCAGAATAAGGCTGAAGAAAATTGGGGTTTTGATTTATTAGAGGGGATTTCATATTATTAATTAGAGGGCTAAAGGGAGAAGTTGAGATAAGGGGAAATCTGGTCATTATTTAAAATATTTGGAAATTAGTTGAAAATAAGGATTTTATCTGTTTAATATTTAAAAATTAGACCTAAAAGGAAAAAAAAATAAGCCTGAAAATTATAAATATTAAAGGTTAAATTGGAATATTGATGGGAAACTAAAAATTGGGGAAAAATTAACAACAGGATATGGATTGTTTATGAAGATTGAATGTAAAAAAATAATCAAGATACGTATAAGCTAAAAATTTATTGATAAATGTAATAATGATGTTTTTACTGAGTTGATATAATAAGAACTGTGTTAGCTTAAATACAAGACAGCAAATGATAAGGGAAAAAGAGGAAATATTTGATGTTGTAACTTGAAATTGGTACTAAAGATTTTGTTATCGAACTATTGGTTAACCCAGCCACCACGTTGCTTTTTAAATACTTAAATGTAAAATTGGAAAATTAATAAAATATCATAAAAAAACCTCCAGTGTTGGAAGACCCACAACTTCTGGAGGCAAGTTGTTCCACTGATTGATTGTTCTCACTCCCAAGCTTTCCTCCTTTCAAATGCACAATGAACACGACTCACCTGCCTTTCTCGGTCTCCCATCATTCCCCGGGACCCTTCTCTCCTGGGAAAATAAAATACAGTCATATCAAATTTATGCCCTGGATTGATCCCCAGTGTCATACATAACCTACGCTGTACTAATTACTCAAGGCTGGCTCTCAAAGAGCTTCTTCAGGTACTTCTTGACTTACAGAACCATTCCGTTTAGTGACTGTTCGAAGTTATGACGGCACTGAAAAAGGTGACTTATGACCGATCCTTGCACTTAAGCATCTCTTGCAGTGTCCCCAAGGTCACATGATCAAAATTGGGGTGCTTGGCAACCAGCATGTGTTTACAATGGTTGCAGTATCCTGGAGTCACGTGATTGACACTTGCAACTTTCTCACCTGGCTGCCGACAAGCAAAGTCAATGGGGGAAGCCGTTATTTGCTTAACAGTTACACAACTGGCTTAACAACTCCACTGATTCGTTTAACAACCGTGGCAAAAAGATTGCAAAACCAGGCATGACTCACTTAAACAACCTCCTTGCTTAGCAGTGGAAATTCTGGTCCCAATTTTCAAATATTCGGAAGCAAGAGTTACGATGAGAAATAGTTTTTTCTAAAAATTATGCTGAATCCCTTGCAGAGAAAAAGAAATGGTCTGAATTTTACCCGAAGAGCACTTTGCTTCTGAATATTTGACCTACAGAGAGTTGGAATATTATATTAATTTATATATTTTGAGCTGAGAATATTATATATTAATATCTGTGTCTGCTAGGCCCTTTAATCAGAACCCTTTTCTCTCTCCAAGTCCTTAGAAACTGAAAAAAGAATTTCTTCTAGATCAGGGCTCTCCAAACTTAGCAACTTTAAGACTTGTGGATTCGGAGGAAGCACAGTTGGAAGACCCTCAGAGACTCTCGTACACATAGGCAGGTCTCACGAGTAGGACAGAGGGAGGCAATGGGGCGACTCCAGGGGAGGAGGAGAAAGCAGTGAGAAGCCATGCCTTGGGGGCTGCGTAACAAAAAGGGAATGTGTGGGCAGGGCTGGTTGCTGGAGGCAGTATCAAGAGATCATGGTCTGTTTATTTTGCCTGTGAGTTATTTCCTGTTTGACTCGTGTGCTCCGTTTTGCTTTTGGACAAGGTCTCCCTTGGAAAAGTGTTCTGTTGCTTTTGTTTTCTGGGACAATGATTAGGTCCGTAACTCAAATAAAAAGGGTTTATTTTCCAGTCTACTGTTAAAAGAGGGGTTGTCTTTGTGAAGTAACAAGGATGTACGTAGGCTGGGACAGAACAGCCAGTTGCCAAGTGCCCTAAATGGGATCACATGATCGGGGGGGGGGGAAGCATCTGTGGCTGCCGGAATTTTGAAATTGGCATTATGTACCTTTTGCGGGGGTCAACAGTAACTTGGAATCATCACAGAGTGAGGACTACCTGCGATCCACTTTTGGGCAAGTACACTTGGGAGTTGAATAAAGAACTTCCCCGACAGGAAAACAAAACGTTCCGTTCCCTGGCTTACCTGTCCAGAGGATGGCCCTGATACCGCCCACGCTCCCTGTGATCGAAGTCATGGAACCGATCCTGGCGGCCGAAATCGGAACGGTGACGATCGTCCATTGCCATCCGCTTGGCTTCTGGCCAGTAGGGATCATCCCTCCTGCAAGCGAGAGGAGGTCAAGAGACAAGCCTAAAAAAATAAAAAAACCTTCCCCCCCCCCATCTCCTAAGTTGCTGGCGGATCCAATCTAAGAGGATGAAACCTGATTTGCAATAAAGGAGAAATATTTGTAGCTCGGGGTTGAAATGGAGGGTCCTTGGTGCTCTCTGAGCTGGGTGGTTTTCTTGCAGGCGCTTCACTACCTTAACTAGGGAACATCATCAGTGCTAGAAGGGAGGGGGCTTTGTGGAGAGGGGGAAGAGGAAGAGGAGGAGGAGGACTGTGGGGTCCTGAGTGCTGAGCTTGGTGGTTTTCTTGCAGACATTTCACTACCCTAATTAGGGATCATCAGTGCTAGAAGGAAGGGGGCTTTGTGGAGAGGAGGAGGAGGACGACTATGGGGTCCTTAGTGCTCTCTGAGCTTGGTGGTTTTCTTGCAGGCGTTTCATTACTCAAACTAGGGAACATCATCCATGCTAGAAGGCTTTATAGATAGGAGGAGAAGGAGGAGGAGGAGGAAGACTGTGGGGTCCTGGGTACTCTCTGAGCTGGGTGGTTTTCTTGCAGGCGTTTCACTACCCTAACTAGGGAACATCATCAGTGCTAGAAGGGAGGGGGCTTTGTGGAGAGGAGGGGGAAGAGAAGGAGGACTGTGGGGTCCTGGGTGCTGAGCTTGGTGGTTTTCTTGCAGACGTTTCATTACTCAAACTAGGTAATATCACTGGTGCTAGAAGGGAGTGAGGCTTGCAGAGTGGAGGAGGTGGAAGACTGTGGGGTCTTGAGTACTCTCTGAGCTTGGTGGTTTTCTTGCAGAGGTTTCACTACCCAATTAGTGTCCTCCTGGATTCACGGCTGACACTGGAAGACCATTTGTCGGCCGTGACCAGGGGGGCGTTCTATCAGGTTCGCCTGATTTACCAGTTGCGTCCTTTTCTGGACCGGGACGCTTTGCGCACAGTCACTCATGCTCTCGTCACCTCCCGCCTGGACTACTGTAATGCTCTCTACATGGGGCTCCCTTTGAGGAGCACNACACCGCTCCTGCGCGAGCTGCACTGGCTACCAGTGGTCTTCCGGGTGCGCTTTAAGGTGTTAGTTACCACCTTTAAAACGCTCCATGGCATCGGACCTGGTTACCTCCGAGACCGCCTTCTGCCACAGATTTCTTCCCATAGACCGGTACGCTCCCACAGAGTGGGTCTCCTCAGGGTGCCGTCGGCCAAACAATGTCTGCTGGCGACCCCCAGGGGGAGGGCCTTCTCTGTGGGTGCCCCCACCCTCTGGAACGAACTGCCCCCCGAGATCCGGACGATTCCGGATCTCCTTACTTTCCGCCGCGCCCTCAAGACATGGCTTTTCCAGCAAGCGGGCCTGACCTAGGGAGGATTTTATTTAGGGATGATTTTAAGAATAATTTTAATAGGGATAACAGCTACTAATATTTGGTTTTTAATTGGTTTTATAGGGGTTTATATTTTTTGTATTCTTTGTATTTTGTATTTGTACCTGTTTTAATATGCTGTTCACCGCCCTGAGTCCTACGGGAGAAGGGCGGTATATAAATATAATTAAAGTAAAAAGTAAAGTAAAGTAAACTGGCACTAGAGCATAAGCACAATCCCTAAAAAGAAGATCAGACATACAACTGATGACATAACACACCATATTTTCATGTTTTTTTTTACTTACCTATAGAGACAGGATTTCCCAAGTGTATCCTATGGGGAGAAAAAGAAGATTCTATTGCAATCAGATTGCCTTATGACTTATTTCAGACAGACACCCCAGATCCTTGTCCTGCCTGTGGCTTTTTGTAATTAATAGGTAATTGGCCAATTTTTCTTTGAGGTGAGCTTGGTTTATAAAGCTGTTGGAATGCGTTTATGCTGAAAATCATAAACACAAGGTATTTATACAAGACAGTCCTTGGTAAGTAGTCCTTGACTTACAACTATTTGTTTAGTGACCATTTGAAGTAACAATGGCTCTGAAAAAAAGTGACTTAGGACCGTTTTTCACACTTAACAACTATTGCAGCATCCCCACGGTCACATGATCAAAATTTGGCAACTGGTTCATATCTATGATAGTTGCAGTGTCCTGGGGTTATGTGATCACTTTTTGTGACCTCCTGACAAGCAAAGTTAATGGGGAAGAGAGATTCATTTAACAACCCTATTAATAATTTAACAACTGCAGTGACTTAATAACTGTGGCAAGAAAGATCATAACATGGAGCAAAATTCGCTTAACAACCATCTCACTTGGCAACAAGAATTTTGGGCTCAGTTGTCATCGTACGTTGAGGACTATCTGTATACGTTATTAAATCCTGGCACATCCACCAATTGGTTTGTGACCACCAATGACAGAAAAAGGAAAACTTCCATAATAATAATAATAATAATAATAATAATAATAATAATAATAATAATAATAATAATAATAATAATAATAATAATAATAATAATAATAATAATAATAATAATAATAATAATAATAATAATAATAATAATAATAATAATAAAGTTGGAAGGGACCTTGGAGGTCATCTAGTCCAACCCCCTGCTCAGCACCTTTTCCTGGCAATAGGAGGAAAGAATACAAATGTATGGCCCTTCAGACCTAACTATAGACATGCCCAAGATCTGATCCGAAAGCCAAATCTAATTGCAGCTTAGAGATTTCCACCTTGGAAAAGCTAGACAACATGAAGAAAATCTCAGGAATACCAAGAAAAATATCTCAGAGAGACTTCCAGGCAAAATTTGCCCTGTGGCAAAAGTTTATTTAGGAACAAATTTCTGCTTCCGAGAAATACTAGCAGACCAAGTTGCCTGAATTAAAACGAGGAGAAAAGAATCAGGAGTTTTTAGTTGCTCATATTCAATTTGAGATATATTGAATGTAATTCATAGTCACCTGGTCTCTTCTCCCTCCAGCAATGTCTTATAGGTAGCAATTTCAATGTCAAGAGCAAGCTTGGTGTTCAGAAGCTCTTGGTAATCCCTTAGCAGCCTTGCTAAATCATCCTTGGCCTTCTGTACAGCAGTTTGCAGATCAATATGCTTATCCCGGGCATCTTTCAGAACGCAGTCTCCATGCTGCTCGATCTCACAAACGGATGTTTGGAAACCATTAACCTGTTCAGAACAAGCAATACTGAATAAATGAATAGGGAAATGGCACTGGGGTGCATGCTGATGTGTAATAATGCGAATAAAGAAAAAGCAATACATTTTCAACATGTCAGATGGCAGACTTGAAGGGAAGGCCAATAATTTTAAAAAATGGCAAGGCTAAGAACTGAGTAGCATTTTGAGTTTTAGTGTTGTTGTTTTTTAATTTAGAATTGGGAGAAGACAGCCAGTCAAAATGAAATAATAGTTGAGCTAAGTGGAATGGGGAAATGAAAGCATCATCAATATTTTTTTAAAAAAATGTGATTCAACCGTGATTGCTTTGAGAAAGAAAAGAAAGAGAAGGAAAAGTATAGTCCAAGAGGACCTGATAGGAAGAGAGAGAAAATGAATCCACTACCACAGAAAGAAAAGTTGGAATAGGATGTTAAAAATGAAAAAACACAAAGAACTTGGCCACAAAATCCAGATTGTTCAAAGAGGCAAGAGGAATTCAGTATCCTACAGTAAGAACAGTAAATATTAAAAATACTGAAGCAAGAGTCATAATAATAATAATAATAAAGTTGGAAGGGACCTTGGAGCTCATCGAGTCCAACCCCCTGCTCAGGCAGGAAGCCCTATACCATTTCAGACAAATGGCTGTCCAGTCTCTTTTTAAAAACCTCCAGTGTTGGAGCATTCACCGCTTCTGGAGGCAAGTTGTTCCACTGGTTAATTGTTCTAACTGTCAGGAAATTTCTCCTTAGTTCTAGGTTGCTTCTCTCCTTGATTAGTTTCCATCCGTTGCTTCTCGTCCTGCCTTCAGGCGCCTTGACAAACACCAGGGCTTCGTTTCCTTCTTTTCTATTCATTTTCATCTCTTGTTTCTTGACTTTCATTTTCCTGGCTCACAAGTCCTCCTCTTCCTAAAATAGCTCCTTCCTGTGAGGCCTTACCTCGGCACTTTTCAGGCCTTAATATATGTTTGGATCATGGGAATAGACTGGCAAATCATCCTTTGCCAGGAAAATGAGAAATGAATCCCAAATAAAGTAGACAAAAAATAACATAGATTTGCCTAAAAGTCTTACTTATATCTGATAGCTTCAGCATCGATAAAAATAGACCACAATTCAGTTTGGAGAAGAAAACTAACTAGGCAAACTCCCTGGTTTGCTAAGCCTGTTGCTCAGGTATTGACCATTGATGGACAATTTCAAGGGTCCCGCCTTGCTATCTTCTGGTTCCTTATCTTTAAATTTGACCTCAGTTGAAGATTCCTCAAAGAGAAGGGGCCTTCAATAGTATTACTGATTCAAATAGAGACATATCCTCTACTAAACAGGATATGAATTGATTGGAGGAGGATTATAGGCTCACAATGGAATCAAGCAAGAACAACTGTGGAAAAGAGAATCTGTTAAAATCACCACTACTTTTATATCTAGGGGAGAAAAGGAATTTTATATTTACAGGAGTTTGATGAAATCCACGATGATGACACCACACATGTCACAATGCCATCACACACAAATAATGCAAATTACATAATTCAGGTCAGTTGCATCTTGATATTATGGTGCAAATGTATGTGTGATATCACTCATCTTCCCATAGATGCCCAAGCTTGCTTTTATTCTTGTTTAAACTATTCTACTCAAAGAAGGCTTGTTGTTTGACATAAAAAGTGGATATAAATATTCCTGTCATGTGTGAAGCTGTAGTGTCAGTATGCAAACCAGCAGATGTGATAATGCTGTTATGGAGGGCAGTTGAGATAAAAATAAAAACAGCAATTTCAACAAATTGCCAATGTTTTCCTTAGTGCTGAACACAAACAGTATATTTCAACACTAGTGGAAATATTCACGAAAAGTGTTGTCAAGTTTGGAGGTTTCCAGAAATAATTTTAATAAGTATATTGAAACACACAGCTTCTAGATGAGGAATAACACACCCGGGTTGCCCCTACCTGTTTTTTAATAATATCATATTCAGACTGCAGTTTATGAACCAGACGAGTCAGATCTGCAATCTCTTGCTGGTTGATCTTCAGAGTTTGAGAATATTTCCCTCTTTGTTGCTGAAGCTCCTGGAACTGATATCCAAGACAATTAAAAAACAAACAAACACATGTTAATAATATTGCCATCACATTTACATTTTGATAAATTCCTATTGGATTGTGAGGACAATGCAAAAGCCAGTGGTGGTTCTAGGCATCCCCAATTTCACCCTGTTTTGACCTAAGGGACATGCTAAAAAGAACAGGGTCAAGAGAAAATTTAGGTGGACAAAAATGGTGGGACAGAGAAAAAGGAGAATGGATTAATCTTTCATAAATTAATATTGTTCCTTTGGAACTTGCCAAGTAGATGTTTTGGAGAATGTCAGGGAAAGGACATGAAAAATGGAATGAATTCCATAAGACCCATATAATTTTCCAAACAGATACAAAGACCCCATGTCCCCATAACTTACTCGGTTTTCATAAAAAGCATTAACTTCTTCTTTGCTCCCTTGGGCAACATTTTTATACCATGCTTCCACACTTTTGATGATGCTGTCAATGTTCAAGTTTCGGCTGTTGTCCATTTGCAAGAGGATGTTAGTGTCATAAACATTGGTACTGAGCTGTGCTAATTCCTGCAAGATCATAGAAAATCTATAGCTGAACCAGGTAGCAAAGGCTCTCACACCACCAGGGTTACATTAACATAAAACCATGACATATGACTTGACTGCCAGAGCTGTTGCAAAGCTATTACATTAAATGAAATAGGTGAAAATATCCTGTTTGCTGATTTAGTGACGCATACAATATTCTTCATCTTTTAATAAGAACGTTGCAACTACAAGTGATTATTTTCCTGATGAAACATCTGCTGCTCTATATAATGTATGTTCTTCCTGTCTTTTGAAATCAAGTGGTAATCCTTCCCACTGGCCTTTTACCAGGCCAGATTAACACCAACTGATGCCCTAAGCCAGGGATGTCAAACTCGTGATATCACGTGACGTCGCGCAACGTGCCGGGCCGGTTTTGCCATTACCAGCAATGGGGTGGGTGTGGCTTCCACATGACGCGTCCGGCCCGTGGGCTGGCAGTTTGACACCCCTGCCCTAAGCAGTGCCCAATGATGGTACCCCTTGGCCCTTCCATTGCTTCCACTGTCAAAGCATTACAATAGCCCTGGTGACATAGTGGTTAGAATGCAGTATTGCAGGCAAACTCTGCCCACAGCCACTAGTTCAGTCCTGACTGACTCAAAATTGACTCAGCCTTCCATCTTTCTCAGTTTGGTAAAATGAGGAGCCAGATTGTTGGGGGCAATATGCTGACATTTGTAAACTACTCAGAGAGGGCTCTGAAGCACTGTGAAGTGGTATATAAGTGTAAATGCTAAGAAAATTAAATTCTTTCATGCCATCTCTCAAGTTGAACCCCACAACTATATTAAATATAAACCTTTTTTAAAAAATATTTTAACACAAAATAACAGTAATTTGCAATATAAACAAATGTTATAACTAGGGCAATTGAAAAAAATGCAGATTTTCAACATGTTTTCTGTATGTTTTAATGACATTGTTATAAGAAAACAAATAGCTATGGGAAAAAATCTCTGTCATGCCCCCTTTCCTTGATGGCCAAAGCACATGATTGTTTTACTTAATGGTAAAAGGGTTGGCTTGCACCTTGGAGTGACAGTTTTGTGTCAGCCTGGTGACTATTTTGCCTTTTCATATTGCTCAAGGCTAGGGCTGTTTTGAGGCATGCCGACAATAAAAATGGTGGTTATCGTTGTATCAAAAAAATTAAGAATACTGAAAGGGACATTAGCTCCTATAGAAACTCAAACCACTTGAGGGAAGAATATTCTGAGATACTTCAACCCAACTCTAGGAGCATTGATTGGTTGAGCTCATTGGAAAGCTAATTTATTTATTCAGTTTCTATAGCCAAGTGATTCTGAGTGGCTTACAATTTAAACAGTTTAGAAGACATTAAAAAGAAGAAAAACATCCACAAAATAAGTAAGTATAAATTGCGGCCGTGATGATTGATCAACTAATAGTAAAGCCAAGCAAAGGGACCCTTCACAAATTATTTTGACAGAGCTGGAGCCAGTTCTAAAAGATTTCATTTCTCCTTTCTTTGTATCTTGCCACTTTCTCTGCATCAATGGGCACTGCTTTTTTATAATGAATACTGGAACATGAAATAAATGCTTGTGAATCTAATTTTCACCCAGCTGTTTTTCTTTAGAAAATTACAGATCACCAAAAGAAAGGTTCCTGTCCTCCCTGGTCCTTGTGTGGCTGGTGGCATTGGAAATCCAAATTAGCAAGAAAGCTTGTTTGGACTGGAGCACATGTTCATATTCTTTCCCCTATGAGTCAATTCTATCTAAGATAAACCCAGGGTTGTTCTTACCTCCGCATAGATACCTCTGCGAAATTCCAATTCTCCGCTCAGCAAATGTACTTTCCCCTCCAGTTCTGACTTGCTCAGAGAAATGGAGTCTACATCCTGAAGATGATAGAACAGTTAATTAAACATTTTTTAATTTCTAAATATTCTATATGGTCAGGCAACCCTATCATTAGGAAGAGCAGGGTGGTAGATCCTTGGGGTGTAGGGAGAAAAGTAGAGCCTAACACTTCCACTTAAAGACACAGCTGTATATCCCAAAGGATCCAGCCTGTCTTGATGTAACTGAATGCCCTCAATTCACAACAGTGGAGATGCTGCTGACTCAAGGGGAAAGGTAAACCAGTTTTAAAGCTGGTTCTCAAAATAGAGCAGAAATTATGAAAACAGGCAGAAAGAAAGTCTGATGAAATAGAAAAGAAAGTAGGACAAATATCCCACACTACCTTTTCCATTCAAGGATGGCACACAATTTGGGGTATCTTCTTGGACTAGCAACTATGTCCAGGAAGGCCTTTGTGTAGCTTCAACTAGTGTGCCAGTTGCACTCTTTCCTGGATCAGAGGGCCTTTCAGACCTTCATTTAAGTCTTGGATGCCTCAGAGCTCTGTTCCCACTGTATGTGGTGCCACCCATAAAGACCATCCAGAAGCTGCAATTGGTCCAGAATGCAGCATCAAGGGCAATGGTGAGCTTGCTTTGGTATGCTCATGTAACATCTCTGCATTGCAAGTTGCACTAGTTGCCCATTCACTTCCTGATGTGATCCAAGTTGCTGATCATTACCTATAAAGCCCAACATGGCATCAGGCATGGTTACTTGAGGGACTGCCTGTCTTCCTTAATAGCTGCTTAGCCAATCATATCTGGTACAGTTGGCATGCTCTGTTCTTTTGATTAAACAATATCATCTATCAGGACCTGGAAGAGCACATTCTCTATAGCAATGCCTACCCTTTGGAATGAGGTTCCCCTGAAATTTGAACAGCCCCCTCACCTTACTGTGTCTTGAAGGACTTTCACCCAGGTCTTTAGTGGGTATAAGTGAAGCCCTCTTTAGTTTGTGTTTGATTTCCCTCCTCTGTATTTGTTCCAGCTCTATTATACTTTTCCAAATGTGGGGATCTGAACTGTTCCCAGTGATCTGGATACAGGCACACTGCTAGCAGATTTACTTTCAATAGAGTTTAAGACAAAAACAGTTCACTTCGTGTGTTTTCTCTATGGTGAAAATGTGAGGATGCCCTTCATTTCCTGCTGAAAAAAAGAGAGAGGTCCATCTATCATAGGTAAAATGGCACCTTGAGAATCACTCATTGGGGAATATGGCAAGTGATCCCTTACAGCAATAGAGAATGGGTATGGAAGGAAGGAAGGAAGGAAGGAAGGAAGGAAGGAAGGAAGGAAGGCCTTCTTTTGCAGTAGAAATTTAGTTAGTTTAAGGCATTAAATCCAGAAATCTTACCTTCTTGAGCAGCACAAATTCATTTTCTGCATCTGTCCGTCTTTTGAATTCCTCTTCATAGCTGTGGAAATATGGAATAAGAGCTGTGTACAATTGAAAGCAATCTCTGTGAGTCATAACAAGTCAGAAAAGGATAAAGACTACCTTTCCCATAAAATGATATGAAGTAAATTGCTTAGGCTATTTGCCTATTTTGAATGCCCTTGCTCATTAGTTTCCTTGTTCTTTTACTGACCATTTTCTTTTTTTTATGTAATGATTAAAATGCATAATATATATTGTATAATGTTAATAATATAGACATATACTATACTTAATACAGAGCCGGTTTGGTTAAGGCACCAGTCTAGAAACCAGGAGACAGTGAGTTCATAATACCTTAGGTATGAAAGCTGGCTGGGTGACTTTGGACCAGTCAGTTTCTCTCAATCATACCCACCTCATAGGATTGTTGTAAGGAAAATAGGAGGAGAGAGGAGTATTAGATATGTTTATCGCCTTGAATTATTTATAGAAATAATAAAGGTGGGATATAAATTTTAAAGAAATTGTCATGCTATTATTTTTGTAAAAGAATCCAAAGTATTTTATTCCATCCTATGGAGCATTGCTCACTAGCTGGGTAATTTATTTCTCTTTGTGGTTATTTGATTGGCTTCCATTTTTCAAAAAAAATTATACAAATTTTCATGAGACGTGGAAAAGCATTGAATATTCAAGTGCCTTTAGGAATTCTTTAGCAGAAAGAGCAACAAAGATGTATTTATTTAGTAAAAGCTGTTTCAGGGAAGTTTTCTTTGTACTGCAGTACAATTGGAAGGAATTCATGAAACTTCTAAATATTGATCATAATTCAACAATTATTTTCTATATTTTAATCAGTATATAAATTGTGCTGGAAAGTTTTAAAAAGGCAATTGTGTTTGGACTGGAGAACAAAAATAAATCTAAGAAGCCTGTTTAAAAGTTTTTATAATCAAACAATAAAGAGATATTGTAGAAGACAAGAGAACTGAGCACTATGGAAGACATAATTTTTACCTTATTCAAAATTTTAAACATTTTTAGGAATACATTGTAGGAAATTATTTCCTGTAGATTACATTTCATTAATTCCACCTTGATTTAACTCTCTTTTAAAATCTTTTAAATATTATATCTTTCCAGCTCCTAAAGAAAGAAAGTAAAAATTGAAAAAAAAACTTATTTCAATTTCCATTTCTGGTCTTCTCTTTTTAATTAAGACAATTGCTACATGCTTTGAAAGTATTGAATAAAATTAGTTATCTAGTTCCATGTTAGTGCCAATGGGTATCCCAGATGAGCATGTTAAAGAATTCTATGAGACTCAGATTCTGTCTTTTTCCAACACTATTTTCTTTTTCCTCCTCTCCCCCTCCTCCTGATCACCCTCACATTACTTGCACTTGAAGTCCTCCACCAGCTGTTCAATGCCATCATTTTCATTTCTTAGATGCTCTTGGTTATTTAATAGACACTCCAGTTGCTTTTTCATGTTGCTGATGAAGTTCTCGTAATACGGTTCAAGGCTTTTCTTGGCTGGAATGACATGTTCTTGCAAAAGGTTCCATTTGGTCTCAAGGACTTTGTTCTGTAGCTCTAGGTTTCGGACCTATTTCATAAATCAGAACCCAACAATATCATAAATTAGATAACGATTCAAGACTTCACTTTATTTCTGAAACAAAATTTACTTTGGTCTGCTTTCATTCTATATGCATTTCATTAAAATTAAATATAGTTAATTATGGATATGATTCCTCTCTAACCATGTGCTTACTAATTTCTTACTTCTGTCATAGTACACATTACAATTTCTTAACCTTTAGAGATCTCTGGGACCAGAGCTCAATTTTTTGAAACTCTGGAGCTTTAGGATATGTACTTCCAAGACAAACAATGAGGCATATTGGGCATCTGCAGAGAAGAAAAGGGGGACCCAAATACACGTGTGACCAATGTCACCATCACATACTGTGATTCCAAAAAGACTTTGGAGTACAAAGACTTAATGGTGGCATCTGAATGACTTAATCATCCCTCATGCAACATCAGTTTGACATTGCTTGGTTGTTGCTGGAACCCTTATCTCTTTGAGTAAGCTGAGTTACAAACTTTATTAGTATTGAATTGTATTAAAATGATATTTTAAATAGCATAAACATTTACAGCTAAATACATATTAAGCACATACAACAATGCACATTATAAACATATTTTTGCGAGCAAAGTAAATCTTGTATGAACAGCTCTAGAAAACCTGAATCCCCTTGCATCTGCCTGTAAAATGTTTAACAAAGGCTTGTAGATGTCAAAATCACTGTTCTTTTTCATTATTGAATTTTTCCATATTAATTTTCCTAAGCATGGAGGGCAGGAGAGTAATTGAGCCTATGCCATTGATGAAGGATGTTTTTATGAGCCACTTTTTACTAATTGGTTGGGAACAATATTTTTAAATATATTGTGTTTATATTGTATTTTAATTCTTATTAGCTTCCCAGAGCTGCACTGCTGAGATGGCCATTTGTAGAAATAGGTATAAATAAAATATAAATAAATATCAATAATTGGAACACATTCTTTCATGGTTCATAGCAAGTGTGCTGGGCTGAGAGCTGAAATCTAATACATCTGGCATATATGCAAAAGTGCATTTTGTAGTATTACAAAATATAATAATCCAAAGCATGTTAAAAGAGCACATATTCTGCATTCTTGATTTGCTTTTCCAGGCAACGTCACTGTACAGAACACTAAAACTAGTTTCATTTGTAAAGTATGAATCCTTTCCAAAAGGCAAGTCCTTTCAATACACTCATCTAGGAAAGTAAATTAAAATTCCAAGTAGAAAAAAAAAGAATACAGAGCCAAATGAAAAGTCTAAAGGATCAGATGAAAATAGCAATGCCAGAGAAAGTAACCATCTTTTTTTTCCTCTAGCTTAGCAACCTAAATGAAATCCATTGCTACACAAGTAGAAATATAAGTCAAGAGTCTGCTAATATCTGACATATTTCTGACTCAAAAAATACATGTTATATTTGGAGAAACTTTATGTTTATATATACATGATAGATAGATAGATAGATAGATAGATAGATAGATAGATAGATAGATAGATAGATAGATAGATAGATAGATAGATGATAGATGGATAGATGGATAGATGGATAGATGGATAGATAGATGAAAGAGAGAGATAATAGATAAATAGATTGATAGATGATAGATGGTTGATAGATAGATATGCATACATAAGAAAGTTGCATACAAAATTGCATAGTAAGAAAATCTGGGCACAAAACAAATAGATATTTGAAGGGTGATTTTTTTAAAAAAATTAAATGATGGGATGATGTAGAATTTGAAATGATGAACTAATGATTCAATACATGGGGGACTGATAATGAGTAAGCACAAGGTTTATGCAGCAGATTCACATTTCAAAAGAAGCATTTAGTCTTTCAACATCAATCTTTATTGAATAAAGCCAATACTATTAGTTGCCAACTTTGAAAATTAAACACTTAGACTTTAGTTCTATATTGCATTCTCCCCTTAGAGTAAAAATAGAAGCCCAAAGAGGATGTCTTTGAGTAACAGTTGGAATTTTCCCCACCAGTAGCCCTGAAAAGCTTGCAATAGTGTAAATCAAATGGGCAGAGTAGCTTGGTTTGTGTGTTTCACAGACGATCAAGATCATCAGGACTCCACACCCTCACTTCCTGATACTTCCTTCAATGGAACAAGAAATAGGTGGCATATTGAATGGCTTCTTAAGTAAACCAATATGAAAGGAGAAAAAAGATCCCCAGCACCATACTTTTGTACTCTGGCTAACACAGACCAAGATTCCTTAGGAAGCAACAGAAGCTCTGCTATGGATCTCTCCATTTTAGAACTGCTCTCTGATTTAAGTAACAGAATTATCAACATATTAAATTCTGAGTTACTTAAATTGTATTGCTTTTAATTTGATGGCTAGTAAAATGGGCATTAGAGAAAACTTGGAAATCCAGACATTTTTAAAGAATGTACCATATATTAAGAGATAAGATAATGTACGCCAAACGCTCAAATATCTGGTGAAACAGCATATCTCATGGAACTTTATGCCATTTTTTTTTTAAAAAAAACTTCAAGTCAAAGAGAAACCAATTATCTCACCTTATCAATGAAGGAGGCAAACTGGTTGTTGAGGCTCTTCATTTCTTCCCTTTCATGATCACGTACAATATGTTCTTGAGGGTCAACTCCCACATGCAATGGCTTCAGAAGCTTCTCATTGATTCTGACTCCATGGATGCCATCCCCCCTGCCATTTGAGTGTCCACCGAAAATCCCACAGTTTCCAGCTGAATCATAAACTCTAGGGCCATAATGACCCACTGGGCCAACAAAGGCAGGGCTACCATGATTTGCACAACCATAATATCCAAGTACGTAACCACCATGTGCAACTTTTCCTCTTCCACCCATGTTAGAAAGACTTTGACTGCTGAAACCATGGACCTCACCTCCGCTGCCAACGGGATGGCGCACAGAGGCGACATAGGTCCTGTGTCCACCGAGTCCACCAAGAGCAGAGACAGAGCTGAACCCCCTTCCACTTAGGAAGGTATTCCTGGTTGCTGACACCTGGTGAGTCATTGGGACAAGACGGGAAGGTTGATCCAAGGGAACAGGTGCTACAGAAGCAAAGCAGAGAGTGCAGTCCTCTAGCACAAGACCTCAAAGCAAATGCTTATATACTTGTGGAGGTGTCCTTGATTGGTTTAGCATTTTAATTTAGGAACTTTCACGGGTTTGGCTTGCCTCAGGGACAGAAGTGCTTTTTAAAGTGCAGATAGGAATTGCTTTGTTTGCAAGCTTTGTTCAGAACATATGATGTCTGAAAATTGTTTCCCTCACATTATTACAGGCTACAAAGAAACTGAAGGAAGTTTTTTCTTCCTTTACTGACCACATTCAGTAAACCGAGAGTATGGATGTTCTGCAACACTGCAGCTCAGCTCTCTCTTGTTAAGATCCTATTTTACTAGTATCAAATAATTTATGGTAGTATCAGTTAAAACATGCATAACAAAAAAACTGTGATGTACATATAGTCATACCAAGAAGGAGGAAAATTAATAGAAATCTTATTTATAATTTTAAAAGTATTGTTTTTAGGGCAAATTGAGTTCACAAAACAGAACAATATTAAAACAGAAGCACTTATTGTCCTATCTCTTAAAAATCATATTCTTACACTTCATAGCTAACACAGAAGTTAAGGTTCTTTTTTCCAAGACCCACAAACTGAAACAAACAGACACAGAGATAAAATTCCCATAAAGAATAATTTTATAAAACCCACTTCACAAAATATTGCTCTGCTTTTTCAGTCATAGTAAACCTTACTCTGGCACATAAGTCATTATAAACTTGACAGAAAGGGAACTTTAAACATAAAACGCTTTTATCCTTAATTTATCTATAAGAGTGTGGAGCTGGATTAAAACTGGGAACAGAGGTGGAAAAGGGAAAAATGCAGCCTTTCTTTTAATACTGAACTCTTATAAACATGCATTGTCACTATATTTAGGATACATGTAGCTTATTTAGGATGCATGTAGCTTATTCAGGACACCATGGCACAAATTATTATTTAATGATGAGATTTTAGAGTTGAAGCAAAACTCATTTGTCTTATTCTTCCCACATAGGCAGTAGTTAAAATGCAAGTATCCTCCCAACACTAAGCACTCCTAGCATTCAAATTAAGTATAGACTAATTTTCAATATTATGGAGCCAGACTATTAATAGAGTTTACCACCAAGTAATTTCTCTGTGGTGTAATCTCTTTTGCATTCATTTGAGTTTATTTTGTAGGTCCCTGTTTCAGTGTTTCTATATTTAAAACTCACATCCATTTTTCGATCAGTTTTCAAGAGAACACAGAGCTCATATGCACCACACACATTGTAATACAGCACAACAGTATTTCAAACAGAGCCAGAAATAAACTGGGAGCAGCCCAACAGAAGTATATATCGTCTGGGAAGTCGATTTACGATTACAATTGGGATTGAAATTTCCGTTGCTAACCAGGTCAGATGTGAAGCAAGTTGCACCCAGTTTTATTACATTTCTGCTACAGGTGTTAAGCAAACTATTGCAGTTTGTTAAGTGAATCATGTGGTTGCTAAATAAATCTAGTTTCCCCGCCTTGACTTTGCTTGTCAAAAGCCAGCTAGGAAAGTTACAAACGGTGACCATGTGAACCCCAGGATGCTGCAAATATTGTAGATACATGCCGGTGGCCAAGTGTTCAAATTTTGATCACCAGATTGTGGGGATGCAGTTGTCATCTTAACTGATGCTTAAAAAACATTCTAAGCCTAAAACTGTGGAGAATCTATAGCAGATTGAGGAAAGTCTGCTACAGCCCAGAGGCCTCTTCCAAAGGAGGCTGGGGGTGCAGTTGTCATAAGTGCAAAATCATAAGTCACTATTTTTCAGTATCGCTGTAATTTCAAATGGTTGCTAAAGAAACAGTTGTAATCCTGATGCCATTTTCTAGTTAACATCACTACAGCTATATGGATAGAAGTACTTCTCTCACCCCACCCCCTACCCCCAATTCCTAGACATGTGTGAGTATTGTTAAACATTTTAATCGTGATAAGGCTATCCCAGGGGTAGGCAACCTTGGCTCTTTTATGCTGGCTCAGGAATTCTGGGAGTTGAAGTCCACGAGTCATAAAAGAGCCAAGGTTGCCTATCCCTGGGCTATCCCAATGACCTCTTCCCTAAAGATAACAGTTGTCTCTGAAACAAAGATGAAACCTGTAATCTGAACACCACGATGGATCAAGATTCGTAGATTTGCCTCAGACACAGGGATGCAAGCAGGGCAGGGTTTTGTCATGACATTGTGCATCATTTTGACACTGCTGTGGATACCATGCCTCTGAGTGGACTCTCTTTTCTTCTGTCATGTCTGCCAGAACTGAAAAAAAATAAGATTATCTACTTAGTTACATTAACAGAGCTATTATAATGATGTGGAATGGTCTTGAATATAGTCTTCTGATAGCTGAGGGAATGGGTAGAATGTCAAAAAAATGTAAGGATGTTCACAAACTGTTCAACTACTAGAGTGAATTAACATGTCTGAAAATTTTAATTTTAATTCAACAGCTTTGGGATATTTAGAATGGATAAAAAGATTCAGCATATCCTCCCAGATCTAAGAATAGCTCAAATTTTAAACTGGTTTTAGTTAAAACTGTTCAATTTCATTATGAGGAAGGAAACAGAAGGATATACTTTTATTTAACATATATCAGGAATTGAAATATGATCATTTTATAATGTTTGAATTATGATGCTCTGACATATTTTTTTTGGCCTTTATTTTGTTCCTAGTACATGAAATGGAACCTTAGGTCTCCTGTAATTGCCCTTAATCTTGAGGTACTATTTTCCTTTTTAAGCCAACAGCATCCAACAACATCTGCTATGATTACTCATTCCCTGATCACCTCCTTTGTGGACTATTAATGACTTACATCTGGTGAAATACTGGAGCAGAATGGGACAGCTTGCCACGGCCAACTCGCCACAGGGCAATTCAACAAATACAAAAGTTAAACTAATTTCCATGCAACCATGGCTAACAATAATAAAGACAATCCAGAAATTCAAAAGTTACAATAATTTCAATGAAAACAATGAAAAGTACCTGGAGATGAGCTATTTCTGTCATGGCACCCGGTCTGTGGAACTTCACCCTCTCCATGGTGAGATTGGCCCTTTCCCTTTCATCCTTCCGGAAATCCTCAAAACTTGGCTGTGTCATCAGGCATCAGGGTCTCCAAGAATTGGTGATCTCTTGAGGTGGCTCCACTGTTCATAACATTGAATGCTTTCATTTAACCTAATAATGCCAGTGTATTTAATGGCATTCTGATTTAATATTGTTATTTTATGGATTCATTGTACATCTCCCAGAGTAACATTCAGTGAGATGGTTGGACTAGAAGACCTCCAAGGTCCCTTCCAGCATTATTCTGATTGATTGATTGATTGCTGCCATCTCACCTAAGGTTCCTAACTAGCCCAGTGGTTCTCAACCTGTGGGTCGGGACCCCATTTGGGGTCGATCGACCATTTCATGGGGGTCGCCAAGCAAGGCTGTCCGCCATTTTTTTGTCCGCCATTTTTTTTGTCCACCATTTTTCCCCCCTTTTCCGGCGGGTGCCTTACCTCCCTTGGGCTGGGCCAGCTGATGGTCGGCCTGCTCCGTCTCTGCCGCTTGCCAGCTACGCCTCGGCCGGCGCAGGGGGCAGAACCACGCATGTGCGGCGCTCCCGGGCAGGGAAAGTCCTCGACTTACGACCGGTTGGGTAGTCCTTAACTTATGACCGGTTTAGTCCTCGACTTACGACCGGTTGGGGTCACGGCATTAAAAAGGTTGAGAACCACTGAACTAGCCTTATCTGCTGCCACTCAGCTTTTCTCTCTCCAAAGAGCTGGGCCCAGAAGTGCTGTACCATTGGTGTCTCAGAACTGCACAATGTCATTGGGCTGTTCAGCTGTCATGATACAAATGTGTTTTTTTTGTTTTTGTTTTTTAAATATTTTATTGAGTTTTATAGAGGTATTACCTCAATACAAATGTTTTAACCCACTAGCCCTTCCTGATTTAGCACAAGTCTCAGATTGTGAAACAGTGAACTGACAGTACCAATTATTCTGCCATTACTACCCAAAAGGGAAACTGGAAGTTATTTGTTGTTTAAACAAAAGGAAGATGGGAAAGTACCTACTTGTGACTCACCTCCCATCGTGATTCCAATCTGTCTTACTTGGGTTATGACTGAACGGGTATAAAGGCTCCAAAGAAGACTCACCCACTGGTTTTATTCACTCGTACTTCAATCCTTGGTGCCTGCACTTAAGATGTCGCTGGAGAGCTTTTCTCAACAGCCTCCCTCGAGTTCACTATTAGGGTTTCCTTAATTTTTTGGTGGTACTTGAGATTTGGCACCCAAAGGGATGTTATTGCTGCCAGGAAGGACAGATTAGAAGGCTAATTTAATCTATATTGATGAGCTGTAGAGCCAGGAAAATCTCAACCACCACTGATCAAGATTAGAAGAAAGGGGCCATCCACATAGCCTGTTTACCTAACTCTAAAATGGTATGCTTATTGGTCATGGAGGACAAATACTCACAACTGTCTCCATCTGTTTACCATCCTGCTGTTGAAGCAGACTGAGCCAGGTCAAATTGGGAAACCCAGCAGAACTTCCATTCTGACTCACCTGGAATGAAGCCTAAGGGAATCTGATGACCTGCAGGGCTCTAATTGGCCTGCTGCAGGATTGGTCCCTCCCATCGGCTATAGAGCTCTGATTTCTCCCTACCTCCTTCCCAGAATACCAACCTCATGAAAGATATTCCAGTACCTGGTTGCACTGTTAATTTTTATGGAATTCTTATGATAATTTTTGTTTGCCTATCTATGTGTATAATTTATAACTGAGGCTTTCTGCTTGTTTTTATGAATAAAAATAAAATAAAATAAAATAATAAAATAAAATAAAATAAAATAAAATAAAATAAAATAAAATAAAATAAAATAAAATAAAATAAAATA